CTCATGTCGTGGCTCATGAACCGCTTTCACTCCGAGAGGACTTGTCTTATGAAGAAGTACCGGTCAGTATCACGGACCGAGAAAGCAGAATACTCCGTAACCGGGAAATATCATTTGTAAAAGTCTTGTGGCAGAACCACACGCCTAGGGAGACGACTTGGGAGCTGGAATCAGAATTTAGGACCCAATATCCTTATCTGTTTGATCAAGAGTAATGAGGCAAATTTGGGGACCAAATTTCTTTATCGGGGGGAGAGTTGTAGCACCTGGAAAGGAGGGAAAAAAAAAAAAAAAAAAAAAAGAAGGGGGGGCCACGTCAACAGCCACGTCAGCAGGCCCAGTCAGCAGTCCCGGCCAACCGGGGCCTGCCACGTGGCAAGACTGCGTCACTCCGAAAGGAGCCACGTTGGCGATCCGTGTGGGTGCGATCCGACGGCCCAGATCAATCGCGCGATCGAACGGCCCAGATTCAATCGCACAGACGGCCCATATTAAAACGAAATGAACGGCTGTGATCAAAAGGCAAGGGGTTATAAATAGAACCCCCACACCAGACCACAAACCCTAGCCGCCCGCCGCTCGCCGGAGAAGACGAACCAGAGGCCGACCGCCGCCACCCGCCGCCGCACCGGGGAAATTTCCGACCGCCGATCGAGGTAAATTTCATACCCCCGACTCGTTTTTCTCCGCTGATCCTCCTATGGCCAAATTGAGGCCGAAATCCCGGCCAAACGGCCGGAATACGCGGCCGAAACCCAGCGGCGCCGCCGCGCCCCTCTCGGTTTTTGCCTCCGACGAGGTCCTTCCCGGCCTCCGTTTGATGCAATTTTTATATCACCGTGATCACCATTCTTTTCTCTACAGGTTGACCGAAGCCGAATCACCAAAACACGAACCTCGCCGGAGAGCCGCTGTACCCGAGAGCGCCGCCGCCGGTAAGCTCCGCTTTTCCGTGATTTTTGGCCCCCCGGGGGCCCTAGGGTTGTTTTCTGACAAGGACCAATGCGAGTGTGGCCGAATTCGGCCGAAAACGGCCGAAAACAGCCAACCCGAGGCGACTCGCCGCCGCCAGCGGCGGCGCCGTCGCCGGAGCACGGCGGAGCCGCCGTGCCGGAGTTGCGATTTGGTCCGAAAGGGGCCCTGGGCCTAATTTGGATTTTTTTGGAACACGTGCAGGTACTGTTAGTGTGTTTCAGTTCCCCGGGAAAAATTCAGGGAAAATTAGGGACGGCCTGCAGGCGCACTGTGAATCGTATTCGGATCCCGAAAACAAGTAAGGACCCCTCACCCTATTTCCTATCACGGTATTAAAGTTCAAAATGATAAAACGGTATTTCTTGAATTAACGCATGTGTGAAATTGCTTAAGGTTGCTAATGGAGCCCGAGTCTAGTGTGATTGATGATTTACTGTTATTTGGCCTGTTTTACACTGTTTTACAGCTTTAAATGCATTATGGGGTTTGATGTGTTCATTTTATAGTTTCGAATGCATATATTACTGTTTTATTAATTATGGGTTGAATGACTGAAGAACTGATACTGTATGTTGTCTGTTCGGCATGAATTACGATTTGCTTGTTTAAATGTGAATTGATGATGCTTATTGAGGAAAAAGGGAAATGAAACATTGTATAGACTGATAATTGTATGATGGGGTCAGCCTGACTAGATATCCTGGGAGATGGTGGACGGACCGGGTCCGTAGGGAACCCTACCGGGATTGTGGTCTCACATGCCGGACGGGGTATGGAGATCTTATGGTTTTGGCGCCCATACCGGATGGGGTATGGGGACGGCCCGTTTCACCCTCATACCGGACGGGGTATTGAGGTTTATGGTTTTGGCGCCCATACCGGACGGGGTATGGGGACGGCCCTGGAAACTGATTATGAATGTTAAAGGTTAACGGGTAGCGGGACCCCTAGGGACCCCCATGGATACTAGTAGGCTGGTAAATGAGAAAAGGATATGTTGTATAATGATTGAATTACAAAAGGCGTGATAAGTGCTATGTTGTACAGCTTATATTATTCCATGATTGTGATAATGTTATTATTTTTTTTATATTGTTTTCATAAATTCCACCGAGGTAAGTGGATGGTAAAGGTTTTCATGTTAATAAACGAGTTTATTGTAAATTATGCTCCATTGGTCTTTTTGTGTTTTTCTACCCACCTTTACCTCCGTGACGGTGAGATATCGTGATGTTCTTACTGGGCTAGTGTAGCTCACTCCTTATTTAACCATTTCAGATCAGGAAGACATGGTTCCCGAGCCCGTTCCGCAGGAGGACGACGAAGGGGATACCTAGAGACTCTGTAGTCATACTCATAGTTTTATTTTCGAGTTTCTCTCTTAGTTAGTTTAATCTTTTATATTTTAAGTACGTTTCTGGTTTTTCGTGTAAGGGATGTTAACTGAAATTTTGATCTCGCTTCCGCATTTGATATATTTAAATACTCATTTCATTTTAATATTTCCGGGGCCGTTACAAAAATTGTATTGTCCAACCCGTAGACTTCTGCCACAAAGTCAATAAATTGTGCTTGCCATCTTGGTACCACAAAGTTTTCACTAGTTCATCATCTTTTTCATACAGAAAGGTAGAAAAGTTGCATGACTAATTGAGCAATAAGGTTTGCCTCATTAATCTGGTCTCACATTAAGTCATATATCCTTCTACAATAAAGAAGAAGAATCATCTCCACTTTATATTAAATATCACAGAATCTTGGGTTTATTCCAAAATACATGTCATAGCACATCATTTAGCTTCCTTTTAAATTGCATATCTTGTGGTCAAAATTACTTTTTGAAAACTATTGAAATTTGTTTTAGAAGTGAAGACTGTTAGACAAATAGAGAAAGTTTAATTTCTGTTTATTCGAGTGCCAGGAAGCTGAATTTATGATCACTTGACAAAAAACAAGGTACTTGGAGACACCTCGAGGATAAAATCTGAAGTGACTTGGGTTCATATAAGCTCTACATAAATTTTGTTATTTTCACGGATAGATTTTGTTTGACGATGAAGTTTTAGTTGGTGAAAATAGTGTAAATTAAAGTAATTTGATGGTATCGGAGTAGTGATATCCTTATGACAGCAATAGTAGGTAGTTTAAAACAATGCAAGTCATATGGCCAAGATGTGTAGTATTACTTTGATTTGTTTTCACTGCTTGTCCCTTTATACTGGATTATCTTGGCTTCTGAGATGCTTTCTCCTGGAAAAACATTGAAAAAATATTATGAATGGTATGGTGAACTATTAGTTAATAAAATCCGAAGTCTGATTAAATCTTTATTTTGGTACTCTATTTTTTGGTGCAATTCATTAGTACATTAGCACTTAATTCAGTCAGAAGATTATATCCGCTATGTTCATAACAAGTTTAACATTTATATGAATTACTTATTTTAAAAAAGTAATAAGAGTATATTTAAAATAACAAAAATTCAATTTTTATGAAATTACATATGCAATTACAAAATATTTTTAATATTATTATTTTTGATAGAATTTGAAATATATTGTTTCAATATCATCTAGAACTTGACACATACTCAAAAATTTTTTTTAATAAAATTTAAGTAGACTCTAATTATTTTCTAGTTACATTATAATTCATAATGTTTTGAATAATTAATAGAGAACTTATATTTTTATTCTAAAAATAGTAAATACAACCCATCAATTATAATTTTACAAATTACCCATAGAGATTTGGTAAAATCTTCTTATAAAAGAGAAACCTTAAATTATAGTTTAGGAAAAATCAAAATAAATTGGAGTGAATATCAAGCCTTTATATGGAAGGGTCTTAGTGCGATTATGCATCCCGTATAAATTTAATATGATATTAGAGATTAAATTTTTTTTTGAAAAAAAATTATAATTTAAAATATTATAATTTTTAATATTATAGTTGAAATAAGTAAACTTAATATAAAAATTTTAATATTTTATGTTATGATTGTTTCAAACCATGAATTTTTTATTTTGAAATATATTTTGTGTGGAATTGGACGAGTGTGTTTTAAATTTATCAAAATTGAATTTGAAAAAATATAAAATGATTCGAAAATTGTACGCATAATAAATAAATAATATATAATTAATTTAATTTCTGAAAAATGACGGGTAAATTCTGAATTTTTAATTTCTAAAAAAATTATATTTTTAATTGGAAATGAGAGCGGGGGGGCCTCTTGACTTTTTGACTTTTTGAAGTATTTTGACTGTGCGCCCATTCGAATATAGCGCGGTACAAAACGGCGGGAAGTACAAATACATATACATATATTGGAAGACGAAATTACCATGTGTGAAATGACCAAAATACCCCTCCCCAGGTCCAAACATTTTGACCGACTGGCTGTTTTTATTACACAAACGAAACAAACAGATGAGATGATGATGATGAGGCACGCGATCCAATTTGCGTCCGGTCCACGTGTCCAGCCACCTCATCAATTCAGCTTTCCGTTATTTAAAAATGATAATAAATCTAATATATCATATAGTATTTAATAATTTATTTAACAAATTTGGTCCAACATAATATTTAATATGTATATATATAAACGTCATGTGGTATTTAAATAAAAAATACTTAAATAATTGCTTTGCAACACTTTTAAATTAAAAATAAAAAATTAAATTCCGAAAAATAAAATCAATTTTTTTAAAGATAAAAAAAAAAATTGAAAAACCCGATCCGGCTTTTTTTTTTTTTTTTTTAATGTAGAGGTGCGTGCCAAACACATCCGGACTGTCACCATTTGTCGTTATTAGTTCGTATCAGAAAGAAAAGGGTATTATCGTCAAATCAGTCTAGCGGGAAATGGGCCCCACCTAAATTAGGGATAGCGGTGGAAATAAATAGAAAGATTTGAATTTCAACGTATATTCTCAAAGCTTTGGTTTTTTTTTTTTTTTTTTTGTACATATCTTAAGAAATAAAAAAAATTCTCAAATGGACAATCCCCAAAACACGGAGATAATAAATGAAATAAAATCTGACAGAGAGAAAAATGCGAAAACCCTCATCAAACCCTCCCATTTAAGCCCACACCTGTTCTTTTTTCTTAATTTTACGTTCGAAAGTCTTGAAATTTAGAAGCTTTTGCTTTTCTTGGTTTACGTTGACAAAAGATAAGGGAGGAGTGAAGCAGCAGGAATATTGCCAGTAAATGAAAAGAGTGGAAGCAGATTCAACAGACTGCTCCGGAAAGAGGTAAGCTTTCTTTTTAAGTTTCGATTCTCTGTGGTTGTCCTGATGTTCATTGTTTGTCAACAGGGATTGTTGAATGTTCGTTTCTTGATTTTGGTTTCTTCTTTGTGATTTCAGTTAGAGAGCAGGGTTTTCCTGTTTTTCTGGGTTTTGAAATTCTCGGGCTTTCTGTGATTTAAGTCTATCCGGCGATACCCATATGCTAATCTGAGCTCTTGGTTTGTGATTTCACTTGATTTTAGCGTATTGCGGTGTTTTCTGTTTGCTTAAGTTCTGTTTGCCATTTTAGCTTAAACCCTTATATACCCATTTGGGACTCTTGATTATTGTTTTTGGATTTTACCTTCTCTGTTTTCCTCATGTAGTCTGATTCGTCATGTTTGGTTATGGGAAAATTATAGTGCAGAAAATTTCCACTTCTATTTTCAGGATTTCTGACTTTTGGTTTGTTGTTTCTTTTTCAGTTTCCTGATCCTTTCTGGGTCAATTCTCAGAGTACTTTTAGGTTTCTACTGTAGTAACTTGGTAAATTTCTTTACGGATTGTCTCAACAATCCTTTGTGTTATTTTGATTCAGGATGGTTACGGGTAGAAATCTTAGTCCAATATTACGGCGAGAGTTGGCAAATCTTGATAAAGATGCTGATAGCCGTAAATCAGCAATGAAGGCACTGAAATCATATGTGAAAGATTTGGATTCAAAGGCAATCCCTGTCTTTCTTGCACAAGTTTCTGAAACCAAAGAAACGGGATCCTTGTCTGGGGAATACACAATATCCCTTTATGAAGTTCTTGCTCGTGTCCATGGAGTCAACATTGTTCCTCAGATCGATAGTATTATGACTACTATTATAAAGACACTGGCCTCAAGTGCAGGGTCTTTCCCTCTTCAGCAGGCATGCTCAAAGGTGGTGCCGGCAATTGCTAGGTATGGGATTGACCCAACAATGCCAGAAGACAAGAAAAGGCACATAATTCACTCTCTTTGCAATCCTCTTTCATACTCTCTCTTAGGTTCCCAAGAGAGCCTTACTTCAGGGGCTGCACTTTGCTTAAGGGCACTTGTGGACTGTGATAACTGGCGATTTGCTTCTGATGAAATGGTAAATAAGGTTTGCCAGAATGTGGCTGTGGCTTTGGAGGTGAAAACCAATCAGACAAATTCACATTTGGGTCTTGTTATGTCTCTGGCCAAGCATAATGCTCTAATAGTTGAAGCGTATGCAAGACTGTTAATACAATCTGGATTGAGAATATTAAATGCTGGTGTTGCAGAAGGAAATTCTCAGAAAAGATTGTCTGCCATTCAAATGTTGAACTTTCTAATGAAGTGTTTGGATCCAAGGAGCATATTCTCTGAGGTGGAGGTGATAATTGAAGAGATGGAAAAGTGTCAATCTGATCAAATGGCATTTGTCAAAGGAGCTGCTTATGAAGCTTTGCAAACTGCAAAGCGAATAGCAGGGGAGAAGGAATCAAAATTTGAGAAATGTTCTGTTTCAGTTACTGGTTCCAACTTTGGTAGGAGAGACCACAGTAGGAGAAACTTATCTGTGGCTGGTGATTCCTCTCCTGCATCTGTGTCACCTGAATCACAAACCCTTGATTCCTTTATGGAATACGATTCTTTAGTTGAGTCACCCTTATCAATGACTCAGGCTTCCAACAATTTAGACTACGATTGTAGGAGTGTGAACCGGAAGCTTTGGAGCTTTGAAAATGGAGGGGTAGATGTGTCTCTGAAGGATGGTTTCTTCTCAGAGGTGGCTCAAGGAAGTTCCATTTCTGATTCACCTTTGGTGGACCATGTATATACTGATAATGGTGCAGGTTACTCACATGAGTTTGCTGGGTTTCTGCAAAGAAGTCCTAGAAATAGGCTGCTGAGAAGTGCTACTCCCAGTCCTCAGGTAAAATGCTTTCACTTATTTTTAGATTTGCTTTGCTGAGACATCCTTATCTGAAGTGTAATATCAGCAATAGAATTATATCATGATTGCTTGAATATGACTAGAAGCATGATTGATGAGTTTCTGCTGTTGGCTGGCGCTGTAGAAAATAAAATCTAATAAAAAGTTTTCTAAAAAAATAGCAATAGAACTACCCACATATGCCTAAATAGTAAACAACAAATTTGGTGCCTGGCCAATTTTAAGAAGGTCCATTCATTTAGTTTATTGGTAGTGAGTGTTGCTTATAGGATTGTGAAGCAGTGATGCTTAACTGCTGGATAATATAGCAGTTAAAATTACAATTCTACTAGTAGTCACTTGCAATAGGTTCAGCATAGCAGCTTGTTCAATTCACAGCTTTATGGTGTTGAACTTTTCTGACAGTATTAGTCTTATGCTAACTTCATTTCTGTTTCATTTTGCATCGGATGTATGCTGTTATGACATGAACATTTTGCTCTGTTTTAATTTCTGATGTTGATGCTAATTGCTAATATAAATTGTGTTTCTCAATCTTCTGCTTCAGAGATCACGTTCTAGGATTAATGTTGACAACGTTAACATCTTTACGACTCCAAGGAAGCTTATTCACTCTCTTCAGGATCCTACTGATATCGACTCAGACTTCTCAGGGAGACAACCTCGGAGATTCAGAAGTCCATGTTCAAGAAACTTTGATAGGAAACCAAAACTACACCAAGACTGTTTTCAGCATGATTCAGTTCATGACTTCGAAGGGAATGGGAATCCTTGTAATGCTGGTGAGCAATCTCGATGTGTATCTGAATCAGTGTCATCAACAGATGAGGTTCCTCTTGATGCTGATGCACAAATCCCCCACAAGGCTATTCCTCAAAATGTAACCGAAGTGCAGAAAATTTGCATGGGAAAGGCCTATGGAAAGGCTGTTTCAAGATTAGTTTTTGGCTTCTTCATTCTACTTGCTGTTCTTGCTTCACTTTTCTGGATTGATGGTCATGAGGAACATTATCTTGTTCCAACTTGATTAACCTGTCTATTGTGTTAGATTCTTTTCTTATTTTAGTAAACTAGTGTACGTTAGTGTAAGGAACCTTTCTCCAATAGATCAACAAGCGTTTATAATGTCAATCTTTCATGTTTTTGTAACAATGTTCAATACTAATGATTTGGCCATGAGTTGGCTGTTTGATTAATGTGCTAAATAGATGAATTTATGTTTATTTCTTTCTTGTGTTCCTCAAGCAATTTCTAGTGAAGACGAGACAATAAATTTAGATTTTAACTAAAAGTAGTAATATTAATCTTATTTTACTTGAAAATAGTGTGGTTTGTTATTGGCTGATGAGAAGTGTGGAAGAATAGATATAATGTTGGAAGATTGAATTTTGGATATCTCCATATGAAAATACTCTGCTGAAGCGTTGGACTATTAGAATTCTTTCTTCTATGCCAAATTCTTCTGTGATCTCTATTCCCAACTCTTAACTCCAAGCTCTTAATCAATTTGTATAACAAAAAAGCTAGTTTTTGTATTTAATATATGATTACTTATTGCATATATTATTCCTTTAATCTTCATTCCCTCGTCTGCATCCAAAAGCTTTGTTTATTTTGCATGTTGTTGTGGTAAGCCTAGGAATGGTGAAAATCAGTTCTAGAATAATCTAGATGAATTCATAGTTGATTCACTAAAGAAGTTGATTTGATTCTCATCTATTCCTTCCTTTTTCCCAACTCAAAATAATTTCTAAATTTTCTCTCTATTTTTCTCCTATCTACTTTCAGTATCACAGGGTCCTGACAGCTTGATATCGGAACCCTGCAATTTGGATAAACCATCGCTTCAACTGCTGCTATCGCGGAAAATAAAGGGAAAATAACAGTCATCGATCAACAGCATAGTCAGCAGCTAGATTAGTTGCGTAAGGCTTTTGTATCAGAAACTGAGATGTTATATTATGATACATACATTGCGAGCAGCCTCGAATCAACTCCATGAGATGCAACCAGAAGATCAATCACAACTGTAACAATGTTTTGATCATTTTACGAAAAATTATGCATATGTTGGAGATGAATATTCAGGTGCATTGAGTCTCCTAAGCTTTTAATTCTGCTAGGGGAATTTTGCCCACTCCTCGAACCCAAAAAGGCTGGTGGTAATAAATATAGCCTGAATTCTTCCTTTAAGCCTCCCGGGAATAATGCTCCATAGTTGGAGATCCCATTGTTTGATGGCAAAAATCCCAGGGTTTGGGAAAGGAGATGTCAGAAGTATTTTCATCATACGCTTCCTAGACAACCAGAAGGTTGAGCTTGCAACTTTGTTTTTGGCGATAGAGTCAACTTGGTACCAAGGCTGGCAAGTTCAACAGGTTGAATTTAAATGGAAAGACCTTGTGGAAGATCAACAATGGAAGTAGTGGAGAAATTTGATGAACAAAGAATCTATCCTCAGTTATCAAAAACAATTTGGGTAGTTAATTAGAACAATACATCTCAAGCTTCATCACTGAATGTTTAAAGCTGGAACCCTCAGTTTAGCCTTTGAATCAGCTTAACTGCAATGCAAGCCATTGATTCATACTGAAGGACCATAAGTTTCCCAGAAACTTGTTTATACATCCACCCAGAAACCTTCTCCATACACTCTTAAACACCTAACATGATTCTAGGGGTGAATTTCATTGAAGTAGTTCAACCCTGTATAATTTGGCCTTGTGCATAAGATATTAGTGTGCCATTTAAAAGTTTGGAAGGAAGTTAGAACTGAAAATGAGAACATCCATTATATAGATGACATCACAAACATAAGTGAAACATGTTCAAGCATGATTCAAAGATTTGGGTTGTGTAAATGTTGCACTCCTCTCCATACATCACCAGCTTTCAAGGTAATTGGTTTCAGCATGGCTGATTGGCCTATACATACAAACGCATACTTGCTGTAGTATTCATGGCTTGACCCAGGACTGAACATGTACACTTCATCCAACCCTTCTCTTCCCACTACAACTGAGCTTCTCCTACCCTGTTCCATTATAACAAAAATCGTATTGATGTTACTAACCCATATAGGCATCCCCATAAAGATGATTGGTGCAAGACAAGTAGATGAGATAGAAGTTTCCGAAAAAATTTTGAATCTTCAAAATTATTTGCATATGTATATAAAATGAGTATTGTGATTGTTTCAATTTTGAATCTTTCTAGTTTTTAATCAAGTCGAAGGATATAGAAGAAAGTTACCCTGTCAATTAGTGTGAAGCTCTGAGGTGCACTTGTATAAATCCTGCTCATTTTCTCATGCAACTGCTTATAGTTTTCGTTCTCTTCACATTCATTTCCTTCTTCACTTTTTCTTCTGGTGTTTTCTAGTTCATTAGCACTACTTTTTGCACTTGAGACCAAACCAGAAAAAGGTCCTTTATGAACAATTTCATCCCACAATTGGCCAAAACCAAGCTTTTCTTCTTCTTGAGGAACTATACCAAATTTTGACAGAAATGGTGGCCTGCTGATGAAATTAGACCCTTCTAATCCGACTGCATACGTGGCATCCGGTGTGCTTACTGTCAGATGGCTTAAGAAAGACCCTGACAATTGGAGTGCTGAAGAAATTTTGTTTGTGATCACAAGCTCTGTGCTTAGGATGTCTTCTTGGAGATTTATAATGTGTTTCATTTCAACCTTCTCTTTGTGAGTACTAATCAGCTCGACCTGCATTCGTCCAATTCAAAATTGACGTTTTAGTCCTCAAGTTCCAGTCAGCAGCGATGAAGAAAGGAAGACAGGAAGAGGGGTAATTAAGAAGTCAAAGAAAGACCAAAGTGAACTAATTTTATGGCTGATTAAAATAAGCCAATTCACAAGACTCCTTAGCTGACAAATGGCGAAAGAAACTTGCCAAAACCTACAATGATATTTGAGAAGTAACCTGAATAGATTCTTGTGAATTTCCTCTAATATCATGAAGAGCCCAAGTAGTTGGATACCATGAATTTTCACCATCACTTTCAAACTTGAAGGCTAAGGACACCCCGCCTTCTATCACAGCACCACCATCCTCTCCTTCAGAGACTGATGTGTGCAGCAGCTCGACTTTGCCTCCATGCCACATGGGAACTTTGTAAGAGGTGATCAAGCCACTCGGAAGCATTAAGCTGGCTGTGCTGCCGTTTTCTAGCACCAGCTTTGCGATGCAGCTGTCAACAATATCCTTAAAGGTGACTCCGTGGCCGCTGAATTCTCTCTCCAGGTAATCTACATTGATGGGTTGATATGGGATTGATGCCACTGATGGCAGGGGGAATTCTCTCTTGGTTTTTATGCATTGGAGGTGAAAAGGATGCTGAGGATGGAAAGAAGAAACGTTCTCAGTAGGCCTTTTAGAAGAGATATGAATAATTCTGGATGAGAAGAGAGCAGTATAAACCATTTTTATGCTTTCCTCAAACTACAATTCTTTTTTTGGTCTTATACGTATGGCATTAGCAGGTAGGTGACAAGTGACTTGGAAAAGGAAGAGGAGAGGAGGTCCCCTTATCCTTACTAGGCCTCTTTTTGGTTGGTTCTGGTTAATTAATGACTTAAAAGATATTTTTTTGAAAAACCCTTTTATCCTTGGAAATTTTGACAGGTTCTTTGTCTCTTTTGATTTCTTTTTTTTACAGCTTCAGTTTGCTTCTTTTGGTGCTATTCAAATACCAAAACTCAGAGCCAAGCAATCCAACGTTATCCTTTCAGATAGGAGAAAGAAGCATTTGGTGGCACTTTATTTTCACCCCTTTCTCAAATTTGTATTTATCTTTCTCAATGTGTAGAAATCAACAAAGAAGCTAAAATAAAATGTGTTTCTTCTGTGTTTTCTCATTACCATAACAGCTAAAATGCTGTAATTTCATCACTTTTGTGTTTTTCCATTTGGGGCCATTTTAATATATTTAGGCAGCCAGTTGAAAAAATGGTTCAAATGGAAAATGCATATCAACAAGAACTTGAACCGTTTAATACATTTTATAAGCATAAACCTCTTTGATTTCTACATTGATGATGACCCAAGAAAGCTTGGGATTACAGTATTGGTTTCAGAAAGGAAAAACTAATTCTACTCCCCTGCAAGCAGGAAAAAATGAAGAGAAAAGAAGAAATATTTTGGTATATGTAAGTGAAAGCTATAATTACAAGTTGTCATGCTCAATGACCTGTGCTCCTTTCCACTTCTCACTGGGTTTGATAACCACAGGAACCAACATTGAAGCAGGGCCTGTGCAGATAAAATAGTCCTTCCCATATTTTTCTGAGATTGAACCAGGGCTTGACAAGTATATATCTTCAAAACCCATCCGAATCATCCTGAAGAAAAGTTCTCGCCCCTGAAATTTGAAGGTAGCCAGTGACAAATATGAGTAAAGCTGCAGATTATGCTAACAATCTTCTGATACACAATATGCAGAGAATGATTACTACATTGAACTTTTAAGGTACATGGGTAAGAGCCAATGAAGCTGAATGATGTGATCTTATCAAAGAAGATGGAGCAGACAAGACGAATTTTCATCCTCAATCCTGTGTTCTGCAATTACCCTTGTGACAAACTGTAACTAAATGGTAATAAGGTTGGTTATGATATTTCTTCATAAAATATCCAAATGTTGCAGTAATGTTAAGGCCTTGGATGATAATATAAGACAAACTATGTGATCAAGCCACAATTTTCATTGTCGATTATTATAGCATCCACTCTGAACATAATTAGAAGGAAAGAAAAAGATACTAGGTACTTAAACCAAAACTATATTGCATCTCTGAATATAATTAGAAGGAAAGAAAAAGATACTAGGTACTTAAACCAAAACTATATTGCATCCTATTAATCTCGAACATTCTGGAAAAAGAAAATGTCGATGTTACCTGATCGAGGGTTTCGTATTTTGATGGTGGAGTGTTATAAATTGCCTTCAGTCTCTCTGATGGAGGAGCAGCATACACTCTGCTAAGTTTATTCTTCAAAATGGTCATTGGTACATCTTGGACAGTCCATGAACCTGGTTTCTCTTCAGGGTCAAAGGAAAACCATCCAGAAGACTCAGATTTCATTGCCTCAGCTGGGGATATTAGTTCAAAAGGCGAAGACAACGGAGGATGCGAACAATAAGAACATCCGCGTAGTCCTTGAATAGCCGATCCCCCTCTTTTCTTGAATTTCAAATGGCTAAGTATGGCACTTTTGAGTGTCACATCCTTCCGGCCATTGTTCTTCACTATTACTGCTGTTGCCATGCTAAGTGGATAGAGGGAAACCACATAGGTTATATCAAGAGTTCCAGTAGTGCAGCTCAATTCAACCTACAAACAAGCCAGACGAAAAGAAAAAACCATTTTCCTCTTCAGTTTTCAGCAATGCCAAAGAAGAACAATTCTTTCTATTCAGTATTTCATATGCTGGGAATGGACAATCTCTCTATGGCAATTCTATATATCACCATCATGATTTGGATTGAGTAGAAGAACTGGCTACTAAATCTTATCAAAAAAAGATAAGCTGCTTCCCAAGAAATGATTAGCCAGTAGAGCTTTTCTCAAATGGTAAACTGGGTAGATGTAAATCTTCACTTATTTTGCTTCATTATACTAACAACGCTACTACAGATCAATATATCTCCATTTATCCCAGATTTTCTGACATACCCATTTGCCAAAAAGCAGAATTCAAACCAGAGAATATGAAAACAATAGTGGAGTACCTGGAGAGCATCAATGGCGTCAGAATCAGTGTCCTTAACAGTCCAATCAGATGCAGAGAAGAGAGAGGTTTTTGAAGCTGATTCAGATGCATCATTGATAACCAAACCAATCCCACCCTTGGATTTGGTAGAGTCTTCCCCACCAGCAGGAACAGTGTAAAGCACCTCCTCAAAGCCATCGTCTTTCCAGTAGACTTTAGGCCTGTAGGAAGTGAGATGAGCATCCGGAATTCGAAGCCTTAACGAGCTGCCATTTCTAACAGTCAGCTCAACGAATGGAACCTTGTTAAACTCCAAGAACTTGATGCCCTTCTTGCCAAATTTTTCTTCAAGGCTCTCTGGAATTGATGACGTAGAGGTAGATAAAGCAGAAGAAGAAGCTTTGGTTAAGTTTGGTTTAGGAAGAGAGAAGGAAAGAAGAGCAGCCATTGGTGGAAAAAAGTGTTCTGCAGCTTCCACAGACACACCAGTGGAGTAGTGAGCAAAGCTCATCCCTTAAGAAATATTTTGTTTGAACTTGTATTTTGGCTTTATTCCTTTTATTACTTTTACTATTATTATTATTTTCGGCCATCAAAATACCAGAGAATCGTACTTGAAATTATTTAAAATTAAATTATGCAAAAAGGTATAGTTTTACTATCAGATCTGATCTTATTGTAATTCAATTTAAGTAAATACATTATATGTATTAAAATAAATTAAAAAAATCAAAAGAAAAAAATTAAAATATATCAGTTGTTTTTTGGGTACACAAATTTTGTAAATTTTTTCAGCTACTAAACATCTGCCATGAACAACTTAATTACCCTATTGCATGATTATAACAAACAAAAAGGTAATAGTTGAAATAAGAATACTGGGACATAATATATATATATATATAACATGACTATAAATCTTAATTACAGCTGTTCTTCAAGAAACAATTTCTATTTATATGTTTTTATTGAATTTTTTTTTTTTAAAAAAAGATATGATTATATTTTATAATAATACTTTGTCTAAATATCTAACTACTTAAATAAAAATTTATTTATTTATTTAAAAATAATAATAACTCTAAGCACTCCTTTAAACACATTCTTTTCTTCAATCCAAAATCTAAAAAAAAATTCTCTCGACAAACAGTAAATCTCTCCCAGACCCAGAGCAAGCATTCAATAGACCTAGTAATAGAACCTTCTTGTCAAGTTTTACCAACTAATATGCAGTTTATGACAGACTGAAAATAATTTATCATCTACTGACATCAAGCTCTAGATGGGAGTACAACAACAGCTCTTTTCTGGTGAATCCTACAGATATATAACTATCCAACCAAAAGAAAAATAAGACTCCTAGCTTAACAATATCCGAAGCTGTAAACAAGGAGACAATCCACCCTTAAAAAAGAAAGCATACTTCCCTTTTAAAAAAAGGGAACTACTAAAAATTAGTACCAAAATCGACCAGGGCACTCACTTGCCAGGATTTCAATTTCAAGACTACGACACGATCATACCACTGATTTTCCACATAAACCTTGTCTTAGAGGTGGAATATACAAGCATCAAATGTTAACCCTTCTCTATCACTAAACAAAATTTTCTCTGACATGTTTTCGGTCTCAGAAAGGGAAACAAATAAATGCTTAACCAACTCAAAGGCAACCAACAAGGGTACAAGACAATTAAATGACAGAATGACACTAGTCCTCGTCCATCCCTGCAGGTTGTTCTCTCTTTGGGCCACCTGCTGGTTTTGCCATTATAATCTGCAACATGCAAGACGTGGTTAAATAGCTAAAGAGGACAAGGAGGAATTACAACTAAAAGAGAAACTTGATGGCTTCTATATTTGATTTTAGTTGATGAACTTTAATTCCTAGTTGATCTAAAGCAGAGATGAAAATCTATTAGTCTCAATAAAGGTCCTTCCATGGAAGAAATTCACTTCATCATCGCCCATCATAACCATGACGAGTACAGAAAATAGGCCAAGGCACAATATAGAGAATCACCACTATTTAGGTGAGTAAATGAAATAACAAAGAACACATCCAATTATCACAGTTTAGTACCTGGTCTACACGTAACACCGTGCAGGCAGCATCTGCAGCATATTTGAGAGAAAAGAACCTGCCAACAAATTCACCAGTACAATTTGTTTACTGAATACACATTCTTAAGAAAGGGCAGCTTAATTCTGGTTCTGAAATTTATTATTGTTAGACAAGTAACATAGATCTGCCTAACTCTTCCAGATAAACAAATTGCACTAGGTAAAAATAAATGAAATAGAACAGGAAAAACTCAGAAGCAGAAGAATCAAATTTCAGTTTCAGCAACATGAACTATCTGAAGCAATATTAATTAGAAGTCTTCCTAATTGATCTTGCCTCATAATTGTTTCCACTGAACAATATGACTGACGACTACACCCACATATCCAATCAGGACTTTTTCTTTTTTTTTTTGTGAGAGAAAATAGAATTACATTAACATCCTACCAAGGAGAGTGCCACCCAATTACAAAGTTATTCCTGTGCAACAACGCACTGCATGCACTTAAGCAATGCATTTACCAGGATAGATACACTCCAAGTATGAATCCTGGATTGCCAAAAACTAAGAAAGCAGAAATAAAATACTTATTCTTGTCAAGGACTTCTAATATCCATAGGAACTTACTTGGTGACATAGAGATCCCAGATATTCATTTCTGACATATCCTTACATGTGCCTTCCTCCAAATCAATGCCCACTTTTGCCTTTCCAGATGCATGTTCAGCATAAAGAGACGATATAATCTCCATTGCATTTAGCCCAGCATTCTCAGCTAGGGTTTTTGGCACCATCTCAAAACTTTCAGCAAATTTGGAAATAGCATACTGATCCAATCTGAATAGCAAATACAAAATAACATTATAAACATGTCCAGACTATGTCTAACCAAATTAAATGCAAACAGACAGGTCATGAACTAAAATCTGGAGGGAATATTTATGCAAATTTTATTAGCTAATAGAGATTGAATAAGTTACATTAGAAACATGTTTAAGCATACGGAATGCAATTAGCAGACACAATTCCAGCTAAAGGAGAGAAGATGAAGCCTTAGCTCATCATGTTATCTAGAAAATACTGACATACCTAAAACAGTTCTATCAAATTCCTAAGCCACAATTTGATATGTCCCATGAATACACTCATCCATCCTCCTGAGAACTAAATATATACATGGTCATCTCTTCCTGTTGTGTTTTCTCTATCCACTGTTCTGCTCTCTCTCATGAGTTTTCAAAATGGATAGAGAGAGGAATTGGTGTAGAATGGATTAGACTTAAAATTTATAAATAGATTGCCAACTGTTTCTAGCTAATGTACAATCTCTTGTCATAATGCGAGTAAGATTAGGTTTGTTCATTGTTTAAATTCTTTTGAGTTCTAAATTTTCTATCAGAATCCTATAATCATAATTAGATCAAAGTTTTATATTTAATTGTATAAATGCCTTTTATTACTTTATAAATCATTTTGAAAGTTTGCCTATATCTTGGTTGTGAGATGCAATCATGTCTTAAGCATGATGCTTAAGAACCCTCTTTTTTAGGAATGATGTCTACATTTATCACAAATTCCTAAATAAGTTAATCAACTCCAATTTGTCATTTATATGGTTTGGACAAGGATTAATTTTACCCAAAAATTTGGAAAAAAAAATCTAGGTACCACACGTAGAGTTCTTAAATATTACATCTAAGATTTGATTGAATCACACACTTAGGTATTGAGAAATTCTCAAAATATTTTACTGAATAACCGAACAATGATCTTAAAGAAGATTGAGAATACTTATATACTGCCAAGTAATCCTTTCCCAAATAGTATTAGACCAAGAATTACTAATACTAATGAAATCAGAAATGCTATTCCTAATAAAGATTGGAAAAGAAAACATAAATAAACTGGAAAACTTAGAAAAATAACTTCAATGATATAATTTTTAAATAGTCAATTCCTTCTATTCCTCTGTGTAATCAATTTACCAATTGGTATGAAAACCCAAAGTTCTTACACACGAAATCCCAAAAACCTCCATCAAAACAGATCCCAAACATCTGAGAGGGAAAAATTCTTTTTTCTGAAATAGAGAGGGAAAAAATTCTTATACGTAAAATCCCAAAAACCTCCATCAAAACAGATCCTAATTCATCTAGCCAAAAAAGAAAAACCCACAAAGCCTAAAGATAGTCAACCTCCTATCAGCCGCCAATAGCAAATCATCAACAATCAAACGACAGGGGCTCATGCACCAGGGCCACCAGCTTCAGACCAGATTAATTGACCCTTCCCCAATCTCAGGCCTCAAAAACCATCAGGAATCACAGCACTAGCCACCACAAATTCAGCAAGCTGCTGCACCACCAGATTACCATAGTAATGGCCAAATCACTGCACACAGCCTGCAAATCTGTAACCACCACCCCAAGCCAAGCCTATCACCAGAAACCTGATTTGCCATCCAGTGACTGGAAACCCACAAGTCAGCATGCATAGCTGCAAACAGGATTTGTCAATCTACTTTATTTTGACCCTTTACCACCCAGGTTTGACCAGACTGGTTCACCCTCTTCCAAAATGGCTTTCATTGGTTCAGACTAGTTCCCAAGTGCTTTTGTTATTTTTTGTTTTTTTGCAGCTGATTTTATAAGATTCTCACTCTACAATCCTCTTTTAAAGAAG